TCCTCATATTCCTCTGACTTTCCCCAGAACCGCTCGGGATGGTGACATCTGTGAGAAGAGACTCGTTTGCTCCTGTCTGCGTGTACTCATGCCACCTTTTCCTGCACTCCCAAGTTCTTTACCTTTTATGCACTCTGTATGTTAATTACCTGTCCACGTTTTCTGTTAATGTGCTGTTTAAGAGGAAAATTGTTGCTGTTTCCTCGATAAACTTTCCGGAGAATCACCTAGACCAAATCTGATTATTCAATAGGTCAAGGAGACAGTTGGTCTGGGCACCAGCCTGGACGTTATTGTCGTCAATGGTCGTATTCGCGAGGGCGATACCATCGTATTGGCTGGCCAAGAAGGGCCGATCGTCACCACTGTGCGTGGCATCCTCTTTCCCGCTCCGATGTCCGAGCTTCGCGTGAAGGGCACCTACGAACATTTGAAGGAGGTTACTGGTGCTCAGGGTGTGAAGTTGATCGCCAAGGATCTGGAGAAAGCTTTGGCTGGGCTTCCACTGTATGTTGCTGAGGACACAGCTGAGGAACTTTACTACAAGGTATCTTAACAATTGTCATACTTCCTTTTCGAATACTTCTTGCCTACGCGACTTTCACTAGGGTTTCGAATAGCTCATATAAGGCGCGCTTTGCTCATTTTTGATAGTATTGTTGGGTATCACTTGTTTTTGGAGAGGCCAAATCACTTTATCTGTGGTCGTTGCTAATTTTATCAGCCTTGGCAGCATAAGTAGCTAGCGCCTGTGCTGCCAGTATGGTATCCGGCAACTCCAATATATGCTACTAGCTACCTTTTGGAAATGTTTATAAATATTACGCGCTTATCTCGCGGTGGCTGATGGACTTCGGCCCAAATATCCATACATCACTCTTCAGTCTGAACCGTTAGACCTTCAAACTGATCTACTCCAAATTTGCAGTTAATTTCTAAGGAAATTCGAAAGCAACAATTGGTCAGTCCCTTTCATGGTGGGACGGCCTTTACCGATCTGTAGATGCTCTGTTTTGCCCTAGAGTTCTAACCCAAACCTCTTACATGCCGACAATCGGCAAGTAAGGGACATTATTGGTAAGAATTGTGGCAGTTTTGATGTCCATTTACGGCATAATTTCCTCCTTTGACACCATCTCGCATATATGACTGACTTATTCAGGCCTGGTCTACGTCTTTATCGGCGTTTTCCAAGGTCTTTCGTCTGAATTTTGGAGAAATAACTCCTCCTCACACGTAATGAACACGCAACGCGTAACTGAAGACCACATCGACAGTCCGACCGTCCTTGCGGAAGATGCCCACCGTGTGCACCACATCAGGGTTGAGGCAAAGACTGTGACTTATTTGTGAATTGGCTTATTGGCAGCAAACTTGCACAGCGTCTACCGCACTCCCTCCTCTCGAACCTGCACCAGGAGTCATGACAGAGTCAAGGCGGGAGAGGGCGCAGGTGGCTTGTACGGAGAAGACCCGCACCTAGGCGTATCACCACACCCCCTAGTCCGTCACATACTACTGACCAGTACAACATGGATGTCTGGTGTCTGTCTGAAGTTCGACTTTCTGACTCAGTCTCCCGCGAAATAAAGATTCCTGGAGTCGAATCACACTTTACCCTGTACCACGGCGGCCTGCGCTACTCTTCCGGTCGACACGGTGTAGCGATCGTCCTATCGCAACAAGCGGGCCTCGCTTTACATACTTGGTAACCAGCCAATGACCGGATGGCCTACGTGCGACTGAAGGGTGACTTCACGAAAATCTCTATCGCCTCGGTGTACGCACCAACTCCAATTGCCGAACAGCGCGATAAATAAACGTTTTACTCGCAGTTGCAAGCTTTAGTTGAAAGACTGCCTCGCCGCGATCTGCTGATTGCTGCTGGCGTTTGGAATGGTCGAATGCGACCTGGCGACCCCTCAACCAGTCATCTTGACCGCTTCGGGCTTGGTTCCCGATGTGAAAGTGGTGAGAGATCGCTGAACTTTGCTGATCGAAACCGACTGTTTGTCACCAACACATGTTTCCAGCATCGCAGCAAACATCTCATGACCTGGCATTCAAACGACGGTCATACGGTCAGTCAGATTAACTACATTCTAGTCAGCTCAAGGTTCCGCAGCTGGGTTCGCGATAGCAGGTCGATGCCTGGTGAAGAGACTGGTAACGCCCATGGGTCGGACCATGTTTTCGTTCGTACATACTTGAAAGTCCACCTCTCATCCGTGCCAAAAATGCCACGTCCTAGACGCCTCGATGTCGCAAAAATCTGGCAAGCCTCATTGCCGAGGCCCTGAGCAGAGAAATCCGGTCCTGTCTTACGACCCGAACCGACGTTGAAGGCAGTAAGCAGTAATCGCTACAAAAAACGTCAGTCTATGGGGTAGCTGAGAAAATCCTTGGTTACACCCAGCGACGTCGCAGTAACTTGATCAGCAGAAGAACCCTGCAGTTGTCTGCTCAGACGGCTCGAGCCAGGTCCCGTAACGATGGCTGCTTTCGCCAACTTCGAAAGATGACGGCAAAATCGGCCAGGGATGACCGGAAGCAATATTGGGCTGAAAATAGCGACCTCCATGGAACAGGCCTCGAACGTTGGCGACACCCGAAAACTACCAACTTATCCGCCAAGTTAGCGGTAAGCCCTCTACACTGAGTGACTTTGTTGGCGACGTGAATGGCGGCTTTATTACTGAGAACTCGGCCAAAGTCGAGCGCTGGCGTGAGCACTTCGAGCACTATGTCAACTTCGATACCCAACCCACCGCGCCCTTGCTCTCCTCTTCAGCGGAGTTTCTTCCCACCTCCACCTATGCAGTGCCATGCGACCCCCCCTCTGAAGGAGAAGTCGTCGATGCTACACGAAAGTTGCGCAACAATAAGGCACCCGGAGAGGGCGGTATACCCGCTGAAATCTTAAAGTCTTGTGTCCAGGAGAGGGCACCTCTCGGGATTGATGTCTGTCAACTTGAAGAAGTGGACAGTTTTAAATACCTCGGGGCGAGGCTGCTGCCTAATGGACAGAGTAAGGATAAAAATGTCTCCCTAATTGATGCGGCCCGCCGGGTTTTCTCAAGCCTTCTGAAATGCCTATGGATCCGACGCGACATCTCCATTACCACCAAGGTTCGCATGTACCTTGCATCCGTACAGTCAGTCCTTCTCTACGGTTGGGAATGCTAGGCTTTGCGCATGGAGGACGAGCGAAAACTGGAGGTATTTGACCACCACTGTTTGAGGATCATCTTTCGAGTGAAGTTCACCGACTTCGTCTCAAATGAGACAGTCCGCGCTCGCTGCGACAACATCGCAAGGATAGCTCAGGCCATCCAAGAAAGACGACTGAGGTGGTTCGGGTATGCTCCTCGTCGTCCACCTCAGGAGCTCAGTGTTACTGCCCTCGATCCGGCATCGAAGAGGGGTCAACTCAAAACCTGGCTCGACATAGTTCGTCAGGACATGGAGGTGGTTCTTGGACCCTCGATATTCGGTCTCCATTGGCGAAGGGAATGGGTTGAGCTGTCCAGATTTGCTGCCACGGATCGTCACGCGTGGATAGGTACAGTTCGGGACATCATGGAGGCCGGCTAGATCAGGCATGATCGTAGCCGTATCGAGTAAGACCAGGACTTTAGAAGATGAAGATGCGATCACTGAATCGCATCTTCATTTTCTGAACTGCTACCCGGAACTCGCCTGGTCGCTTCTATCGCCAGGACTTTACGCGACAAGAAGAGGGTCGGCTCGGATCTTAACTGGCACGGCGTAGGCCTGCGCCTGGGCTTTACGATCACGTACTTATTTGTTGGCTTCAAAAATCGCTGCAGTAGTATTGAGACCACAAGACCTTTAGAGCTAGATCTATATCGCTAGCATTCCATTATTTTGGCTGCGTCCATGTAATTACTCTCATTACTTTTA